GGGCCTCGACATGGCATCTCTAATACCAGCACATAGAAGTCTTCGAGAGGAACTACCAAATTTTTCTTGTGCGCCAAGAACTTGGTGGTGCTACTGATATCATGAAATGTGCTTGGAACCAATCGAAAAGTCATCGTTTCAGAAAGCTTTTTGTACAACTGGTTGACGTATTTGTTGGATGAGCTTTCACTTTTGGCACAAAAACTTGCTCAGCCATGGGAGCATTAAGTAGAACGGACCAAGAAAAGGAATTCTCAACTTACTTAAATTGCTTTAACGAGACTATAAGATTAACGGTGGAAATAGAATGGCGTGAGGGTTTACCCTTGTTACTTGGCTGTTTGGTACACAGGGACGGACCGACGGTAGAAACGAATACAAGTCGTAAACTACACAAATGGTGAAAGAAACCGCAGTTCAGGTGACCCAAAGGATGGTCCGCAAGAATCGCTTTGTCCCTCTCGCAGAGGATGAGTGCTCCGTGAACGGAAGACAGATGCAGAAGAGTTGCCCAAAGAGAGGCAGTATGAAGTGTATTAGCTAGTCGATGACAGAAGTGATTGGCAAAATACCTGCGAAAAATTCCTTAATCCACGTACAACATAAACTACGGGCTGGATGGTGACAGCAGAAATTTCGTACACAGTGGAAACTTTAGAGATGTTTCGGACGTTACTGAATGAGAAGTTCAGGGTGGTTTTTCAAAAGTTCATTTTCGTCGTTGTTGCACTCGAAAAATTCGATTCCTTTAAATAGAACACCGAATTGCGGTTACACGATCCTAGTTGAAGATTGCACACAAGTGTACATCTGCTACAATAAGATAGAACTGAGGATGGCAACTTAATGAATGTAAAGCGCATTTCAAGGCAGCCGAGAAAAGAGTCTAAGCACAAAACAACGCTAAGTTAATCGTCTCCAACTGTGCATACAATACGTATAGGACAGGAATTCGACTTCGAAAATGTCGGGAACAACGAGCTAGTGTTATGAGCAACCCAAAAGGTCCATCACTGAAGAGACGGGATTCGAAAGTTAACAACTGTTTGCATAGAATTGACAGGGTAGGATTATCAAATGCTTGCTGCTCAGCCTTATCACGAATAGTCTGATGAGCTGTGGCGAATAGATGCATAATACGACGGGACACCAACACTACCGAGGTATTAAGATTCAAAGCGAGTTTTCACTGGTCCTTTAACTCAGTCCTCCCACGCGATCACTTGAGATGACAGCTCGACATATGGCTGCGGTGATGGAACAGGGCAACACTGAAACCCAGTATAAGAGTAGAAGTCTTTTAATATCTTCAGATGAATTATCGTGGACGCTGGTATCCAGATTGCTTGCTTGCTTGGGGTCACTTGAAACTGATTCAGTCCCAGAGTGAGGAATAACATTAGCATTGATACGTGCCAGGTTTGTTGTGAATACACAGTTAAATTATCCGAGCCACTTTGCTTTCCTGGGGCACAGTGGTGCGGCAAAGGCATATACACTGTGCAATCGGGCCATACTTCGTACAATGAAGACCGCAGATGGGCATAAACGCTCGAGTTAAGCATGCGCGGTTGTCTAAATATCCCAGCCGTTGCATTTTCAGTCAAGTTTGCAGATCGGCGAAGGCATCCGGAAATAGGTTAGTTAGTTACCTACAGACTAGCTCTATTCCAAGGCCCTAGACGAGGGTGTAACCGACTGCATGGTGACCAGTTTGAACTGTACCTCAGGTGGTTATTTTCTTTGTTTCCGAGTGGATTACTATGCAATGCAGTACATACATTAGTCCTTGCCAATGCTACTCATGGGTCTCGCGCTGCAGAGTAATTGTACATATGGAGCTGCCACAACTTAGGTCTGCCTGTGAAATCAATGTTCTTCAATATTTCAGGAGTTGGGAAACTTGGAGGTGAAAAGTAACTGACAAAATATGCGGACTGTAGCCAGTGGTCGGTACTGAAGGCAGCTGCCTAAAGCATTGTACTGGTTACATCGCACACTGTCAGCCGAATCACGATGGACTGACTATACGAAACATGGTGAATGTATGCTTCTCAACATCTACACTATGGAATCCCAAGCCGCTTCTGGAGAACAGTTTAAGGCTGATCTTCAGTTTTCCGTTGTATGTTCACATCAACACTCTCACCCGATTCTGAGTAAAAGCCAAACCGTCAATACTGGATCGGATATTCATCAACGAAGAACTAATGGCTGCGAGGGTGATCGGCGACCTCTCCTTGGGCTACAGCGACTATGTAGTTCTATTCACCAAATACATTTGCTATGCAGAAGATCCAGTAGAAATTGCCGACGCTACGCGAACGTATGTACGCTACGACATATTAGCTCGACTAGGTGAGACAGCCAATTGGATCTTTCTGGCAGACGAGGCACCGGCTAGCATATGGGAGCATTTCGTCAGCCAGTTTAACATTCTGGTTGCCGAAGCATCAACGACTAAGACTTTCCACCCGAGAAACGTGGTTTCGTTTGTGCGAAGCAGGATGCACAAGTGTATATAGGTGGGAAACTCAGCCTGACAAAAGTAAAGACGCTCTCCGAACACCGAGACGTGCATGGCCTAAGCAACCCAACGCAACCGCTGTACTCGGCTCGTTCGCGAGGATAGAATGGTGTACCAGCAGAAGTTGGCAACACGCATGGCCTCAAATCATAAGCTTCTGTATCAACACGTAAACAGTCTACGTAAAGGGAAACGGCGAATTCCTCGTCTTTAAACAGCGGATGGATCCACACGAGCAACGAAAGAGCCGACAAATACCCTGCGCCTACGATATGCTGTAACATTTCAGTGCGATCACTGGCCACTAAATCTTATGAAAAGGATCGTCCCCCCCCCCAAAAAACACTCAAATTTGCTTCACGGCAGAAGCTGTATTAAAGAAGGTATTACGTTTGCACAAGTACAACTCTCCTGGAGTCGATGATATACACCCGAAGTCGCTAGCGGCGGTAGGAAAGAGCTTAGCTGGGCATTTATCACGAGTCTACCAACACTGTCTTGGCTAAATGGACGTGTGCGACATGTGGAAACACGGGATGATTACACCTATTCACAAGGGAGGTAGTCGTTCCGATGCAACCAATTACCTTCCAGTAATCTTACAACCGATAATGTCAAAAGTTAGGGAAGCTATTATTTCTGATGTGCTAACGGCCTATTTGGAAGTAATTTACTGCCTCGTGACTGAGCAGCATGGCGTTTAAAGAAATCGTTCGTGCACTACAGATCTACTACTAGCACGATCCAACTGGACCGAGGCAACAGACTCTAGTAAAGGGGGTTGATGTGATTTTTCCCGACTTCTCAAAGGCGTTCGACCGGTTAGACCATGACACCTTGTTCTACGAACTCCGGACCTTTGGTATTGTCTATCATCTCCTAGGGGATTAGAAGCTTTCCTCTACACCGGCACCTATAAGTACGAGTGCGTGAATCCCCGTCAAATCCCATCCGAGTTGAATGCGGAGTACCACAGGATCGGTACTTGGACCGCGGTTATTTCGACGTATATCAACGACATCACACACTTCACAATCTGGAATCGCCTGCTTTATGCCAATGACATCAAGGTGTGGAGGAGGATCAAGACACCAGATGATGTCACTGTAGTACAAGCCGATCTGGATAGGGTATACATGTAGTCAATCCAGAATCTACTTCCATTATGTGTGGACAAATGTAGAGTGCTGCACATACGGAACCAGGTGATGTGCTCCTAAAATGTCGGCAACCAGGAGCTTCAAAGCTCCTCTGGCCTTAAGGATTTGGGGAGTTTTGGTCCAGGTCAACCTTGGATCTTCGAATCAGGCTGAAACGGCATCAAGGAGGGCCCTCAAACACGTGGGCCTCATGAAGCGAGCATTTAGACGATTCGACCCATTGATTTTTCTACAGCTTTACGGCCCATACACACCTCCACATGTGAAGTACGCGATATAGCTCTAGCAGCCATAGCTGAAGAGAGATTTCACCTCCTTGGGAATGCGCCAACGCCAGGCAAACAAAACTGTCAAAGGTTTATATAATTTGCCAAATGAACGAGGGCTCAGGGTTTTCAGCAGACAAAATCGGCCATTGCGAAAAGGACCTCACTTGGACTTACCAGATTTCGTGAATTCCCAAACACAAGTGTCGCCATTTGCTAGAGCCCAGTCACAAGAGTACTTGGAGAGGCCACCATCTCAAGCTGGGAGAGCAGTACAGTCGTTTAGAATGCCGTCGGAATTTCTTTTCTGCACGCGTATGTAAAACGTGGAACGCCCTACCGGAATCTATTATATATGCTCCCACGCTGGCAGAGTTCAAAGCCCGAGTTGACCGTGCCCTCATTTCGCTGCACCATCGCACATGACTCATTATCCACGGATAAACACAAGGGTTCGTTCAACTCCCAAAATACGTACCACCTCTTTCACTTCCCTTGTGAGTTCACCAGAATGCAATCCAATTTGTTGCCAGCGTCTCATTTGTTGTCACTCCTTATGGATTACATTCGATTAACAGTTTATACACGTATACTGCAGTCAGCCCACCGGTGTAAACCTAAATTTTTGCTGACAACTCTTCTATTTTTTGAACTTTCACCATGTTCATCCCACGGGACCTGTTAAGCTATAGTTTTGTTATCCACATAAAACCATTGTTTGATTGTTCCGTTAACACAATATTGATGGGGAGTGTCACATTTAGCACAGCCACGCAGCAGCCAGAGATGGCCTCATTACTGAACTCGCTTTCCACCAGCATCTATATCACAACCAACATACCTCCTGCACTGAAGTGTTATCTCTTTGGGTGATTAAGCCTTTGCAAATATATTGCTCAGCTAGGCCAGCAACCTAACAAATGAGGGGCTAAACCAATTCGTTACCAGGACGGACCTGATTACCCTGGTATACCTTCCAAAAGACGTAGTGGGCGTGTTTTCATAAGCAATGTGTATTGTGAATGTATTAAGATTTGGTCGACTCACGCTTTCAAGTATGCCCTGTTCTCTTAGTAACTTCTGTCTCTGGCGACTCGGAGTGACACCATCGGAAACACGGAGCACGTCCCGCTGGTCGAAATGCGCATCGTTGGACAGAAAACGAATGAGTTCCACCAGGATATGTATCAGGAAGCTGAAGCCAAAATTAATTCAAAGTATTTCTGAGATTTTGAGTAATGAAGCATATAGTTGCCACATGAAGAGCAAAAAAAACAAGCATACTGTGCTTTAGCATTTACCCCGCTAGAATCAGACTGTGCTTCCAGCGTTCAGTGTTGATCACACAATGGTATTTGTTAAGGTGCCATGGAATAAAAGCCCCAAAGAAAATATTAAGTCGACATCAGTAAGACTTTAGGATTGTTAGCGCAAATAATTGGAACTAACGACAATGTATATCTATTCCATTCTTTATCAACAGCTCAGTTGAAATACTTGGATTACATAACAGAATCTACCGAATCAACGTATGCAGTTATAGCATGCAAAAGCCTTCTACCAGGTGCTACACAAGCGGTAACTGAACAACCGAGTCCCTTGGGTTCAAAGGTCCACTGTTGAGTTGGCTGACATCTTACCGGAGTGGATGTTGCAAATAGCCAATATGAGTGACCACGTCCAATCACTAGTGGTGTCATGAAAAGGAGCGTACCTGGTTCTTGCTCTTCCCACTTTATATTAACGATATCATTTTCATCAAACATAGCAGGTCATTTTTTCCGAAATAGAAATATCGCCGAGACGAACTACAGAGCTCACAGTTGCTAATTAAAGAAGACATTGTTTCATTCGGGAAATTGTGTGACACCAGATTAAGGAAGTTCGCAGCTGGCAAGTCAAACATTATGTGTCACCTGTTCGATTACTGAAGATTCAGTTAAACTCATTAATGTATGCCTCCGCGTAAAACAGTTGGACTATACTCTACCAATTTATCGCTCGGTACATTTTAACTTTTAGAAGCAGAGCAAATTTTAAGAACTTGGGGTGCAAGCGTAATCATTTATTGTGTCAAACATAGCTAATACAAGTTGCACCCGTTCCGACAAATGAGACTTCTATTCATCCTCTCAATCCCTGTTGGAGGTTGCATGGCGCGGGTTTATTCCTGTGTCTAGGGGTTGTGTAGTGTGCGTTGCTTGTGCGTCCATTTCTCGCGACCATATATCTGCGATTCCAAAGTGTTCTCCTTCGAGAAAGTCATTACGGCCCGCTATTTGCTGGTTGCCATTTTGTATCCTGGCATTTTACGCTACTGATAACTATTTTACTACACTCTACCCCCTACAAAGTAAAAGAATAATAACAATGTGTCAGCTGTACGCCATGACGGCGCGTCGCTGCCGCGCGATCATCAGCAGTCGCACGAGGGATGAGTATATCGCGAGGACGCCCACCTCTGCGCGGATTCGAAGTGGTGACCTTATGGTTACAAACCAGGCGCGCAGACCACTCGGCCACCGGCCTAGCTGCTTAGAGTCGGAATCTTTCGGACCATCGGGGAAGTTGGTTGTGCGAAATAGGTTCATACTCTAACTCGTGCCACTTCCTCAACACACTGGTATGCACTCACCGTGAATCTCCTTACCAAGTGATTGTATACACTGGATCTTGACGTTTAACCGCCTTGTACGGTAGGAGTTTCGCCTCCCCTGGGCCACAAGTGGGAGCGCGTTGATGGTCCCTGTATTTCGCCTTCGAGTTGATCTGAAACTAGATCCCCATCTCACCATTGTTGGTCTGGGACTTCTCAATCTGCCGCGCCTCAGTTGCTTTCAGCTTACGGTTGGCTGCCTTCCTGTTATCATGTACTTCGTTGAGAGATATTCGGTATGTTGCTCACACTCCAACTTTTAAATCTACAGGTAGATGAGGTATTCAATCGTACAACAATTGGAATGGGAATTTCTTTGTGAAGCCTGTTTAGATGGTCGGTGTGTTAGTAACAGCAGTGGAAAAGTTTCTCCCAGTCTCCATTCTTTGCCGCTAGCCACTCCTTAATCGTTCTGTTGGTACGCTCCGTCACATCATTTGTCTGCTGGTGGTACGGAGTTGTCCGCATTTTAATGATACGAAGTTTTGTTAAAAAGTTTCGGAATGCCTCACACTCAAAGCACGGACCCTTGTCTAGTAACATGACGTTTGGGATTCCGTGATCCATTATCAAATGTTTCATAACGGCATGGGTAATTGTGGTGGCCCGTTTATCCGGAATTCAAGTCGCTTCAATCCAACGCATACAGTGCTTCGTCATCGACAAGGTTTATTGGTTGCTCAGCCTGGTCAATGGAAGCGGTCCCATCAGGTCGATCGACAAATCCCGATACCGGAATCGTCAGCACCGGTTGTTGTGTACCTCGGCAGTCAGTTTACAAAAATTGCCATTGCTTGCACAAAAGCACGTATGTCTCGACTTCCTCGTTCATACCTTGCCAATAAGCACGTTGTCTCAGCAGATCGTAGATCCTGGCGCAACCGGTATGCGCCATCTCGTGACAAGAAATCACCAGCTTCCACCTTAATTTCGTCGGAATAACAGGCATCGAACTGTTGTTACCTCCTGTATCCCCATCAGGATTCTCACTTATTTACTTGTAACCTTCCAAGTTTTCTAGCAAGCCGTCCGAGCTGCTTATGTTGGCTCTTGTTTAGAACTGATTGAGCAGTTATCCGTGCAGTGATCACTTTAGGGAGGAGTTTCTCACTGCATTGCTCGGTCGCCAACTTTCACGGATCCTGCTCCGATAGAATACCGTTAATACCGAAAGCCACACTAGACAGGTTATATTCCTTCATCATGCTTGACAAATATCCGCAGTTTGCTTCTACTTTCCAGCCAGGTGTTTTATCGCGAAATCGTATTCCTGTAGGCGCAATGCTCATCACGCTAGTTTTCCCCTGAGGTCTTTGACAGACGTAATCCTTACACAAGAATTCTGACCCGTTTTGACGTGAAATCCTTGACCTAGAAGATATGGCCAGCGTTTGTCCAACGCCCAAACGATTGCGAGACATTCCACCTCTATGATTGAGTACTTGCGTTCCGCCGGTGTAAAAATTCTGTTGGCGTACTCAATCGTACCATGGCTTTGTGTCAAAACCGCGCCGACTCCGACATCACTAGCATCCGTGGTCCCTGTGAACAACTCCACAGCAATGGGTAATTTCAGGGTCAGCTCTTGCATTCTCATTTCCTATAGAATGTGATCAAAGACTTGTTAAGCTTTTTCAGTCCAAGTGCAATTTTATCCCTTCCAGTAACTCATACAAGGGTGAGGCGAAATTGTTGCAGTCCTTGACGTATGTGCTGTATTCCCCACACGGCCCAAGAACGCTGCGAGATTGCGCTTTGAAGTAGGAACTGGCGTGCCTTGTGTTGTCAATATTTTCTCAGATAGTGGCTTCAGTTCACCTTGTCCCACTTTATGGCCCAATAAGGTGACACATATGTTTCCAATCTGGGACTTCGGTCCATTTATACGGAATCCTGACTGCTGAATCCTTTCCAAGACTGCTTTGGGATAACCGCTGTGATTCGCCTCTGATTGGCTATACACTACGACATAAACGCCGTACACCGCCACGTTTTCCAAGCCACTCAGTAAGCGCAGCATTAAGCGTCGGAAAGTAAAGGAGATTCCCGATAATCCAAAAGGCATTCTTTTAAATTGATATTTGTCTCTCACTGACGGTCTCTCGTTTGCTCGCTAGTTGCCAGTATCCAGTTGTTTAGATCCAGAACCGTGAATGTTCTCGACTGTTGCACTCAAACAAAAATATCAGCAACCAATGGCACTAGAACGAAACGACTCAAGGAAATTGTACTCGGCCTTCGGAACTCGACACATAAACAATACATGCCATTCGCCTTCTTCATCAATACCACTGAAGAATTGTATGGGCTGCGCACCTCTTAAATCACATCCGTGTCCAACATCTGCACTTGCCTCTTCACCTCAGCCTCCAGATAGATTGGCATCCTTCGAGGTCGCTGGGTCTTATATAAGTCTGGTGGGTTAGCAGGATGGTGTGCTTGATCCAGTCCCCAAATCCATACGGGCTACCGTCAGCTGTAAACAAATAATGATACGTGGTGATCAGTGACCACAAGATCAGGCTCAAATGTAACGTCGCAACAACCGATTGCGAGGATATCGCTTCTCCAAAGCCAGTAAGTAGCAATGACCCGTATTCAGTCAATAAAGTCCCTAGTTTTAAATCGAAGATAGCCTTGTTGAACTCGAAGAAATATGCCCCCAATATAATTCGTTTTGTATCTGGTGACGTGCGTTAGTTTCCGTCCCCCGAGTCCGACAATGTGTTCGGCCATACCATCAATGCCCACTGAGTAACCGCCAACAGCTCTCACGACCACAGAGCGCGATAAAAGATTTCCACCCCCCGATGGTTGATCAGCGACACGGCGGCACCCGTAGCGAGCAGACACCGTTCCATGGTCCAGTTTACTTCCACCACCGCTTCGATTGCCAAGCCCCCTACTCAGTGCCCCGAGTACACATTTCTCTATCCGAGAAGAAAACAAGGTTGTATGTGTGTATTTGATGCACGGACAGCAGCGCGTCTCACCGGACATTTCCTTTTCCAGTATCCCTGTTTCTCGCAAAAAGAGCAACATCCCCTTCTTTTGCTACTCCGAGCACTGAACGCGAAACCCATTGACATTTTCCGCGAGCTATTTCATCATTCATTCTAATTTATCCATCCGTTCCACGCCTCCATGGTGTCTCTCCTTCGGCGCAGCGAGTGCTGCGTCGCCCAGCTCTTGAGTAATCTGCGCCAACTCCTCTAACTGCATTCCCCGAGTAGCGTTCGCAATCCGGACCCGTTCCGCGGTTGGCTATGGGAGACCGGTCAGGTCAGGTCAGGTCAAGTCAAGAAATTGCTTTATGCACCATGCATGGGTGAATATTCAGCTACAACACGCACGATCTGGACAAGGTAATAAAAAAGCAAAACAGTGGCAAAGCAATACGACAAAGAATGGGTGGATAAGTACAAAAAACACAATCAAGTTGAAACTCAACTGCTTCTGTCAAAGATGACAGAGTTGGGGTCTCGTGAAAGACGCGAGAGGTAAGGGATGACTGATGAGTAGTAAGCTTGTGTGCGGGTATAGATTACCTTGTATTTCTGCCTAGTAGATGAAGTTGATATACATTCAAATAAGCCAGTACGTACGGGATGACTTGTATCGGTCAGTATCTTGGGCACAGGAATTCTCTGAAGCTGTAGTAGTAATACACTTGCAGAACCTGATTTAATTGCCCTACGTCTATTAAAATTCGGTCGAACGTCGAGTAATCGATAAGCGTTTTCAGCATCCACCAGAGTTCAGGACAACTGCAGTTCCCAAAAACAGACTGGACAAACGCTTTGTTAAAACAGTTTAGCTCTTCTTTACTACGACCTGTGACAGCTCTTACTGAGGTGTCGCCTTTTTGCTTTAAACGCTTTCTCCTTAATTCGACGTAGCCGCTTCAGGTTGCGGGATGAAAACCTGTCAGCGCGGACGTAACTAGTTTCCAAAGGGCAACAGATATCATAACAGAAGTCATGTACTGATCCCCCAGTAATTGCTGTTTTGGCGGTTCGTCTATTCTAGGCAAGACCCGGTCCAGCAAACCGCTGATGTGGACTGCAAACATGAGAGGATCCGCAATCCACCAAGCGGTGCCGCCTTGAACCACCGCATCACCTCCTGGTGGTCGGCTGGGCTGTCCCATCCGGAGCCCAACGCATCCTTCGCGGCTACCGACTCCAACTTGAAGGAACCTCTACTCACCGCCTCCAGGACAGCCTTCACCCTGTCCCTGAGAAGACTCCGCAGGGCAATCAGCTTCGCCCTTTCAGCCTTCAACCGTCTCCGCCACATACTCAAGGTAACCCAAAATGATCCCCACACCCCTTTCTCCAAACGGCTCCAGCCAGTCGATCATGACGCGCCTTGGTTGATCACGGCACCAAAAAAATCCCGATACGCAAGCCGAATTACCTTTTGCGCCCAACATGGCTAATACAAGGTGCATCCGTTCAGACAAACGAGACACCTACCAATTTTCCCATCCCTGTTGGAATTTGCATGGCGCGGATTTATTCCTGCGTCTAGGGGTTGTGTGGCGTGCACCGCTTGTGCGCCCATTCCTCGCGCGCAAACACCTGCGAATTAAACCAGTTCGTCTCGTTGTGGGGAGTCGTTAAGGCCTGCTACCGCCTGCTTGCCGTTCCGTATCCTGTACCTTCCAGGCCACTGATAACCGGTACAGTACAATGGAAAAAGGAAAAAAGGTCTAAAAAGGATAACACCCAACATGTTGACAAGTCACGTGAGACTGTTTGTGGGAATAACGTTAGCCCAATTAAGTTACACAAAAGTGAAAAATACCTCTGTGGACTCACCATATTAGCCGCGTTAACACGCAGGTATATCCGTCTAACACGATTTCGTAGGGTTGTTGAGCACAATGTTTGTCTGCGTCTTCTCGTCACTCAATGAATGGAAATCATATCAAGCAGTGTAAATGGTGCAAAGCATCACCGAGTCGTTTTTTAAAAATGGGTGTGATAAATCATTGTTCATTGTTCAATTCACAAGCTACTACACTTTTAAGTGGGTGCTCTGGTAATAAAAGATGTGAAGAATTTGGTTAATAATATATCGTACGGACCTCTAACTGCACGAAGATTTTAGCTTGGTTGTCAATGCTGTCAGTAAATAAAAATACAGTTTGGCTGCGCCACAACAAAGCCGCGAAAGACGTCAACCATATGAGAAGTTACAATAATGAGGCAGATGAGTAAAAGCTGCATACCAAGCATACTTGCATTCGGCTTGATAGGGCTGGTTTCTACGGTTTGCCGGCAGTACAAAGAAAGAGATAAACAAGCTGCTATAAGGGCAGTGCCTTTATTATCATTTTATAATACAAGTTATCGTAGAACTAGCCATTAAAATAGCGAGTACGCAGTTTAAAAATAAAAACTTTCAGGAGACTCTGATTGCTCAATCCACAGCTACTTTCTAAGAAGAAACCACAAAAACACCTGGTATCTCAAGTTGAATGGCACAGTATCAACTCGAGTTGAAAAAGGATGAAATAACGGCACACGTGATCTGTCGCAACTCTCTGATTGTTTACTAGATTATAAAGTAACCTAGCTTGGGCCGGTTAAATAAGCAACAGCCCAATAACCGTTAGACTGATTTACTCTGTAGGTGTCCAAACGACAACACTTTTACCGTTGTTTATATTTCATGAAATTCCGAGGTAAGGGAAGCACCATCCAGTTATGCACTACTTGCATTGGGAAACTGGTGACTGGACGTTGTACATATGAAATACCATTGGCTAAAGCTAGTGAGAGCAGTGCCAGATTAAAAATAGTTACGTATCACTTCGACGACATGGTGAGTTAGGTACAGGTTGTCTACCCAGTAGATAAGTGAATCCCAGACAAGGAAAACGCTGATTAGTGTTTAACAGAGTTTGGTTTTACTAGATAGCTAAAGGTAGACAGTACTCTTGTTTAATCAACTTAGCTGGGAAATGTCAATTTTCTCCCAATTGCATTGTCAGTATTTTTAGAACTTTTCATCCGCATGAATTGGATCTCCAATAGAAGGTGAGTTGTCGTCGTACAAACTACTGCTTGAGAAACATTGGCTACAACACAACAAAAAGCAAACTGACAGAGGATGTACGTTGCCTTCCAGTGGTTATTTTTAACATTCAAAAGCACGTCCAAGCGATTATGGATGTCTGTGATTTGCAAAAATGAGAATACAATATGAATTATAAAAATATACATATCTAACGATGAAATCATCTCATGTGTATAAATATGGTGTACCATTAATTGTCTTTAGCGTTAAATCACCAAAAGCAGTTTGCCAATATGGGAGTGAGAAACGCAAATTCCTCTCTTGCTGGTCACGTTCTTTAAAGTTGGTCTTGAGATGCAGTTTGTAAGCCTCCTGTGGTGATTTTAAAAAAGTAACTCAACATTGATGTGCCGTAGTATTAGTTGCCAAAAAAATACATACCGCCTAATACGAAGTTAATCCAGTCCGCATATACCGTGTTGAAGCTAGTACGGTGGGAACCTTGAATTTATCCGAACAAGTAACTACTATACCTTCAGACTTGCTTGGCTGATGCAGTGGGATGATATTGATATTGTGGCATACATTGAGGTTAAAGACAACTATACAACAAAGCCAGGCATACTAGGCATCGTAAGTTTCATCGCTACTATAAGCTTTGGCGCAATAGGTTTGAGCCAAGTATACGCCTACTTTTGAAGCGTTAATAATGAACGAATAAGTTCATTAGAACAGAAAGTGTTCGTAATAAGGAAGCATTCGCCCTTGACTAATTATGTAACTTTACAAACAGGGCAAACAAATAGATGTGAACTTGGATGTTCGTATGCATACAGTAATCATAGGCTCCTGGCAATAGTTGTCAATTTCTGTTGTACGACCAACAGATTCAAGTAGGTGGAAAGGGATAAAGCCTTGACATCTAACAAACCATCACACTGTAGATGGTAAAATATAACCTTTCTTCAGAAACATTATCAAAACCACATAAATACAAAGTCAATTTTATCCGACTTGGTTCCTACCGTAGCCGAAAGGTATAATCCAGTCACTAAATGCTTTAGCCGATAAAATCCATTCCATCGGGCGGCTTGAGTACTCGTGGGGTCCGGGTGAATAACCTGCAAAGCAAAAACAGCAGGAACTCTATTCAAGCACATTAAATAATAAAGGCTACTTGCGTAGGGGAGAGCCTAGTAAAGTACACATAGCTAAAGCATGCATTAGACAAAAATAGGCTAATAATGCATTATTTATATATATATATATATCTCTTCAAATGCAGTCATGCAAGTTTGCGGACTACTTCCAGGAAGAGTAAACTTCTACAAATCTGAGTGTTGTTCTCATCAAACGATTTTCCCCTACGTTTAATATATTCACCCGTGAACTAGATATCATCTTTTATAAAACAAAGATGGGGCACTTAAATAGAAAGGAGCAAACTTATTTTTTATTGAGCTTAATGCAAGAAACTATTGTAGTATACTGTTGTAAGTTAAACGAACTGAAATGAAAAATTAACTTTTATGTACACAACACTGCAATTTTCCTTCCGGGCACCTTATACCTAGGACTAACCATAAGGTATGAACTAAATAATCTTAAACATAATATTGAACAAGTCGTAACGTGCCTTGTTGCTGTTCACACATCGCTTACCTCAACTTCCCAATGAGCCTTAGAGCTGGTAGCCTTTGCTGCGTCTGTACGAAAACTCGTGCGAAGAAATACTTTGTGACCATTGTATTCGTCGCAAGTAAGAAAACGCTCGCTTTCGGAATGAAACAAACGAATTACGTCTCCCTGAAATGTGATGTTTGCGTGTTATTTTATAAGGTCCATCGAGTTTTGCTGCAAATCTTACGAAGGAACTTATGACCGACAATTAATTTCTCTTTGAAATAATATGCTCGTTCACAATTTACTAAACTCTCAATATGAATGTGTTCATACATACATTGAACCTTTAATAATGAATTATTGTATGAGACCTTACTTCGAAGAGCAAAGGTAAAGTCTTCGCTACTTACAAGGAGCGTTACGAATAGTTTACATAGTTTCCCGGTCAGCAGTCAGTGCAAACATGTAAGACACTCCACTTAATCGTCGGGTTGACTCCTTAAACTAGTGCAGCCGAACTCCGGTTATGTCAGTAAAAAGTGAGTAGAAGGCAACAGACAAGAAGTTATTACAACTACATTACATCAAGGGTGATACAAAACAACAAACAGAAAAGTTATACTAAAGGATGCTAAGTTTGTCTCAGAATTTACGATATACCTTTAGGTTACGTGCATATTAACGTCCGATTTTTCTGCGATGGAAGCAAACAAAGTTAGCAAGCTATGTTTGTGAAGCAAAGGTCAAAGTACTTTTTTGCGTAACTGTTGTATGACAAATAATTTCAGCATATTAAATATAAAATAAGAAGCATTAAACAATAGACAAGTGTATTCGTCGAAAGGAATATCATCTCGGACACACGTGAAACGTCGCCCAACGAATGCATTTACCGAGTATTTGCAAATCCTTCTAAGACAGTGATATCCTATTTGGTTCCAGGGGTATTTTAAGCTGTTGAGGCTGAATTGGAAGTATAGCTTTCCTTAATGATATGAGCAGATCATGTTTATTAACAATCTATAAGAAAGAACAAGACGGTTAACTGCCTTAGTTCAAATCAATACCTGACACACTGTAAACAATATACACATTTAGAGGCTCTGTTGTGATAAATTCAACTATCCTGTGGAACCAAGTGTAAGTTAAAATAACTTAGTCAGTGCATATTGTTATACCTTATTAATAATGCAGCTTAAAACTTACGCCCTTTAATACGTTTTTGATGTTTTCAAAATGACTCAGGTAAAGATTTATTCGCCAGCTACTCAAAGAACCCACGAAACCGTTAATTTCGGCCTTCTGTTTGCCTTCAATGCTGTCATCCACACTGACATTTAGCACATGCCCTGTTCGGACGGATGCCAGTAACACTTTGTCTCCGACCAGTACCTGAAGCAGCAGTGATGCCGTTAATATGTGAGCACAGGACCTGATAAGTTTCTATTAGTTCTAATACTCACGGGGTCTCCTAATTTTGTGTGCTTGTAAAATGGCTTCACGTACATCCAGGCGCCGCTAGTTTCACTCTTCTTTAAGCGGACTTTCACAGCAGATAAATCTAGCAATGCAGGCGTTCTTTTGGAGAAGGTCACGATACGCTCCGACTTCAAGTGCAGGAGCTAGGAAAAAGGTTCAAATGAATCATAAGTATTAAGTTCAAAAAACTAATCAACGCTGTAAATCCTTTGTGGACCTAGCGTGTTTCTGGTAAATTTATTTACTCAAATTCGAGACATCACTGATTAGGTAGTTATCCATGACGCCAGCTAAACGGGTTTGACAGCCTGCGTACTTCATCATATTTTGAAACAGAAAAAACAAGGTAGGATAAACCGGTAGGGAAGTAGAGCACCAAACGACTAAAAGTGCGTAAGTGTTTAAAATTACATAACCTTTGAGAGAATTAAAAAGTATTATGTAAAATCATAATGTGTCCTTACCCCTCCTACTTCGGGACTTGGTTGACTTTGCCCTACTCAATTTTACTGTATAATTCAGTGGTAAAGACTTTGATTTCAAAAGCGTTTGATTTCAGTTACAGTTTGTGTAGCGTTTTGACAGACAGGATTTGTATTTATGGCTGTATGCTGACGTATTCTTTTCACGATTGTCCACAGACAAAACCTAGAAATATGGATTCCCACCGAAACTAAGTGAGAAAGCATAATCAGCTGTGGAATTAAAAACATTAAACAGGGCCATCAATAGAATTTGGTGCAAAACATTTGACATGAGTACTGTTAACAATTTACTAAAGCATGATGGTGATATAAGGTTAAATTTAGAGCAAAAACTACTTAGAAAAATAAGGCGCACTACACGTGCACATACTGGAAAGTAGTATGCAGCTAAGCAAGTAGCGTTACATGTATAGCCTCGTACATGTGATCGCAATATGCAGGGTTACGATATGCGGCAATGCTAAGTAGGTTTACCCACCAGTGTACAGCATAACAGCTTAACATATGATCGATAAGCATGCTCGTAATGACTGTGAAATCAGCCCCCGCATGATATCAGTGACCAATTTTCCGACACTGCAGTAACCGTTGGATCGCTTTTAGAGACCGCTATTTGGGTTACCCTGGTCGTCCCAATGATGCACGTTAGGGTGAATTTTGGTCAATCATGAAATGTTTCTGGTACACACTTAACATGCCGTGATTGCAATTTTCTTGGTCACAAATACTATCCATGGACAATGGAAATCGAGTATCCACTCGTCATTCCACTAAATCAAAAAGTTTAACGTGACGGTCACGGGCGAACAAACTGGCCGCTCAGCGGTAGTATATCCACCACTCTCGGTGAACACATTTACAGTTCTATGAACAAAATTATAAATAGGCCAAGACTAGCAACATCAAAGTTGCAGTTATGCCGTTTTCCATGCATGTTCCTTTCTTACCTGAGCAACCAACCGAAAGCACGTGCCACTAGGATGGATAGCCGTCTATTAGTGCTAGTATAACGACGCGTTATCGCAACGAGAAAAAACCTTAATGTGTTGCGCGGTCTGCGTAGCTGTTTGACCGATTAAGCCATACTGAGTGGTGCCCAAGGCTCCTTCAGAGCCACTCCTACCCGGTCTCTAGCCTGGAGGTAATGAGCCTGCCTTGTAATCTTGGGGCGCGGGTACAAATCCGCGTAGGTTGGGCGTCCTCTCGGTATATTTAGCCCGAGTGAGACTGGCGGTGGTCACATGGCAGCAAGCGCCGTTACGGCGTACAGCAGACACATTTATTATTTTATTATTTTTTAATCCTACCAGATAGGGTAATGGTTGGTGGTCAGACGAACTCAGTCCACTGATACAAAAGGTTGGGGTTTGAAATGGGATGGCATCTTGTTCTGTAAAACTAAATTGTTGTCACCTGCCTGCTGCCTTGCAGGTAGTCATTTGAGTCAAGGGCGTTGGTTGGGGTCCCTAATGGTTCTCATGTCAAGGTTTGGTGGTCCTGGCAGTATCTCAGTCCACGTAAGAGCAAGACTCGTTCTGCAAAATTCAATCACATCCTACCTCGGCTATTTCGAAGATCATTAAGAATCGCGTTATGTGCTGCATACAACAGAGTTGCTAACTTATGCTGGCGCCTTCGATCAATCGTTTCCACTAAACCTTCATTACTAGCCCTCATATAATTTCCTGCTTAATTGACGGCGGCCGCAATGCCACTGGAGTCCTGATATCTGAAGTTACTTCACCGCAACACCAACTAGACGACAAGTTCTAACAGTTCCTTATAAAGTCACACAGTTCCGTTACTCTGGCGGCGTACAACAATCGTACTCTAAGACAAATAGGCCAGTAGGCTGTACTCTTACGCATCATTTACACTATAGGTATTATCGTGTTGTCTGTCCAAAAGTAGGATCAATAAACCTCACGGAGTTGTTGAGTTAACCACGCCCGGATTGTCCACTCGAAGTTGGTTGTACCTGTCCGGAGATATCGATGTAGCAAAGACTAGTCAGGTTGGGGTTGACATAGTTCTCAGCGCCAAGGCTAAGTCATCGTCGGTTGATTGGATTACCGTACATATGGACTTAAGTCCACCGTACGGACAAGGGCGAGCGTCTGTTGCCACTGATGGCAATGAGCCACGTGTTTCTTAGTAGCCCCGCTTTTAGACGCAGTGAGCGCCGAAGTGTTAGTTCGCGTCCTCCTACAGATAGCCATCAGTGAACCGAAATTGAGGACGTTGCCATAAGTTACAGGTGGTGTGGTTCCATCCTGTAATGTAGTTCGCTCTGGGATGTCTACGTCTACTCGAAACATGCTTTGTTACTATGTCATTTTTGCTATAAATACATCTGGGTAGCTTACCAGACGCCTTTTTGTTTGGAAACTGAGAAATTAGTTTAGACCTTGGTCAAGCAAACCTAACAAGATTTCGCCACGGTATACGATTACGTAGCAGATATCTTACAGACAACAAGTGGCGTTCGTCACGATTGATCAGTTTCCTCAATTTTTCATCTTCATCTTGTCTCTCTCATGATGTGTCCTTGTGGAGTTTCACGATGCAAGCGCTTTGGTGCTGCCTGGTGAGAGGTTAGTACATTTTGAGTACACAACTGATACTGTACTGCTTTTAAAGGATTTCGGGGCGACACAATCAAACCTGAATAATATCTCTAGAGTGGTCACCTCATTTGGCAAGCGCTTCGGACCTTCAATTGGGAAGTGCTATTATAGGACAACAGCAACTTAATGTCCTCTTGACCCATGATAAAGAGGCACTCGAGATAGCAGATCAATTAACGTGCCTTCGCAGGTGCATCGGCAACGATATGTGCATAACCATAAAATCTAGTTTACGGATTGAAAAGCTAAAACTACCTTCTTGAACCTGTGACATCTGTAGTGCCAAATGCGAGTTTCCGTCTGTCCAAAAGAGCGTGTTAATAAGGCTTTCCTGCTCTATCGGCTTTAGAGTAGGCCATTCGAGATGAGAGGATGCGACGCTGTCAAGTCATTGAACAACATTGCCTGAAAATTGTTGCTGGTGTCGGTGACATCATTGTGTTCGTAAAGATGATGTGCATTGGCGAGCGGTAGGTAGTGATAAGCATTGTACATCCTTAGAACAACTTATACTACGGAGTGTGTTGATTTGGCGTTAACAAGTATTACTTATGTCCTTTCACCGCATTCCGGGGGGCCCCGATTTGTTTACCAGGTGTACGATGGCGCAATTTTCGAGGTGGTTACAAGTTAACTTGGCCGCGCTAAATGAAATCACTGACATCCAAACCTGGTGCCGTTGGCCAGTCTTGCCTTCCAGGTTGTAGTCCGCATGAGCCGCCTTGTGCTTGGCTAAAACCGCTAAAAAACACGAGCCGCACTCGGTGCCAGAAGAATGTCTGCTGTTGTCCCCTACGTGGAATGTCTGTCTGAAGTGTGTTTGGTGACATGTGGCCTGTCGTGTAATGGCCGATTATGACGTGGTGTAGTGAAAATCGCAAAACGCCCACGCTGATGCCGTCTTAAGTTTGAACGTTAGCCAGCTGTCTGTGATGAAATGTTACTGAACAAGGTGTAGGCACCTTAACCACGAATGATTTTTCAGGGCATTAAGGATTTGTGTTGGTTCCTTTTTCTCTCGTTGTTGTTATTCATTGTCCCGTTTGCCACCATAGTCATACGGCAGCGGAACATAAGTTCAGATGGTTTACGTGTACCAGCTGCTGTTATTGATGACGTTGACAGACGTCGGGTCATTAGGACGGTATGTAAATGGGAAATACAAATTTCTGCTTGATCCAGACATTGGTAAACATCACTACTGGAAACAAAATATGAGTGTGCAATAAAAACAAAATATATGTGAGTTCTGTACAAATGAAGAGAAATACGCTAGAAACGCTCCAATATAAAATAAAAATAAACACGATCATGTCTACAGAAATTACTAGAAAACCAGTCTAGGTATGTCATAATTCCGTTTGTTAGGTGTTTACCTGCACAATGCTTCCATAGACAATTTTAGTTCCAAAACTATCTTCGTTTTCGTTAGAAGCACCGACAATCCTATCGGTCTCTGATTTCTGCGTAGTTACATCATTCAATACACATTTTAACCTTAACTAGTCTTGGGATTTCATTAAACGTTTCCGCCAGATTTGATCCAGATCTTTTTCCTTGTTTGTTATCAATGTGTCGCCTCACTGGGCATACCATAAACCGACAATCTAACTATGTAAACTGCACAATAATAAAAAGTACCTCTGGCTTTTTGAATTTGCTTTGTTCCGTTACGTTTATTTTTTAACAACTTTAGACAGCTTTCAATTTGTCTGCGAAACGTGACGTAAATGAACACTATAAAAACACAAACCCTTCAGCTCCCAATGTACCTAAAGTATCATCGCTTGCTTCTAGACTCAGCTGGTCTCCATAGTAAAGCACACGCATTACGATGAACACCGATCAACTAGCACATTGCGCGCTTGAGCGCTTGCGAAATGTGTTTACGTGCGGATGGCATGAATCGAAATGGTAAAACAACCTGAGTTGGCACGTCCCGTAATAACATCGAAGAACATTGTGAATCAAACTATTACATGCAACCCTTTATAACTACCTCGACTTGTTTGCAGCGATTCTTATATTGCACTGTTCTACTCAGTATTTTATTTCAACTATAGGGATTATTCGGCGAATCATTGCATCCTTTCATCCAGCTATGGAAAGGCAGTTAGTTTGGTATGCTTGAATCTAAGCTTTCCGATTGCCAAAAACGATTAACTTCACGGACAGTTTCGCATTTGTTTAGCTTATCAGAGTTGCAGCTGCTCTTTTAAGGACTTCAGCTCTTTAATATTGTCCGACTGACGACTGCCATTGAAACTAACTGTACGATTTTCTCACATCTTCTCCTTGGATGCAACTGGGCATACCTTCTCCTACAATGTTTGAGTTAGACAGATTTTTGTGTTCATTTTTACGGCGCAACTTTCCTCGCAACATTTTTCCCTTGAGATTGCAAATCTGACTTTCTTTCATTGTCCGTATCAGAAGAGTTTCGTGCTAGGCATTGGCTATTTTAGCACACCTTAGTTCACACATTTCTTCAGTTTAGCTACATCGCTAGTTCTTTTCGCAAGCGTTCCATAGTGTTCAGTAACTACCAAAGGAAGTCTTGAGAGGTTTAAAGAGTCGCTCATGCTCATCAAACTATTTTGATCCTCGTTATGCTGCGTGCTAGGATAGCGCACAACATCATGTTCACACTTATAATCACGAGTTTACAGTAGGCACGACAAAGTTGAACTTTAGTAACTTTTTATATCAAGCAGCAATTTGTTCAGCAGATGTTCCCTAACCATGAAATGCGAAAACTTGTTTTAAACGATGCCTTCGTAGGTTCGCAAAAGCATTAAGACACTTGAGATACGATAGGCATAGGTTCAGTATTTTAATGAGTTATTATCAGAATTTTACTAAATGCCTACCGCTGGAACTAAGGCAGCATACTAATACGCCATGCTCACTTTCGTTCTGTGTCGCGTGTATGAATGCATATCTGGTGCATTTTTTCATAGCAATATGGCTGCAGCTGAGTTTCCAGCGGACGTAAACATTGCTAGGTAAGAGGCAGTATTAACACTTCTTGTGCCGTTTTTAGCTAAGCTGACACCTACTACTAAAAAATGTAGCTGGCAGTTGTTTAGGCAGCATTTAGGCACCGGATCATTTAGGTAAATGACTGCTGGTGGTTCGGGTTAACCTAATTCCAGCGGCGTTCCAGGATACGATGGCTTTCTGCTTCAAGAGCTTTTTTCTATAAAAGGCCGCAAATGTTTATTTAACGCGACTGCGACCTAGGAGATGTGATTTACTATTAAGTATGGTCTCCCATCCCAGTTTGTACTGAGGGTTATACCCACACCACGACAACATTCATCCACCTCAAGGAATTCCATTGCTAATATCTTGCGCTGAGGTTCCTACCTATGACATCTATAAACACAGCACAACTACAAAGCTGAGAACCCACCTTGCTGCTTACACCTGTGCATTCATATCACCTTCAATCATGTAAATTTGTAACCTCTGTGTGCACACTTATTATTTAAGCAAGATTTGCATTCTTGAAAATATACTAGATTTTACTTATAGTGATACAGCAAAGTGCGTCAACTAATCCTTCTATCAAGTAAACCACTGACCCACCATCAGCACGAACAATCAATCGATAGAGTTCAATCCTCACCAATTAATGTGCTACCTACGGGTGCAGTAGCCTCTTGCAAATGCAAACTCCACCTACGCAAAACCCCATGGGACAACAAGACCCGGCACTACTGAAATGTAAGCAACCAATTACACTAACACCCACGAGTCCAAAGCGAAGTTTGCAATCGCTATTAATCAGGTGTGCGAAACCACTACAAGGCCAACCATGGCGAGCTTCGTCTACTGGACATTTAAGCGCGGTTCCGTATAGTGAGCTACAATTCCACCGATACTATTGTGTTCTGTGTTCTTCTAGTCGCCTCTCTACCTTGTCGTCGGAATGGATGTACTTAAGCGTCAATGTTTCAGGCTTTTTTATTCGGGAACACCAGCAGAAAAATATTAAAACGCCAAACCACCAAGTGACTTAGAGAAAACCGCCCTCGCCATTGATACTCAAGTAGCAAGTAAACATGATTACAAGCGTTGCTGGTGCGCTGCGTCACACAGTGTCCGTCCTCCTAGCCTATTTGGACAAGGCAGTTAAAGTGGATTGATTGGTGGGAAGCCTGTGGTAAGCTGTGCTAACTTTATTATATCTTACTTAAATTAACCTTGGTGCACATCTCTTCTACCAGCCGTTGTGCTTTGCATTCATAACTCTAGACCCATTAAACAATTTCACTTTGTCCTTGAGTCGTAGCCTTATGCTGCTTTACCACTAACTACCGCCTTCAGCACTCTCCCGTTGCAAGGTATTGATAGTTACTAATTGGGCGTACTGAAGAGCATTAGGCTCTGACAACCTGTTGTTCACCCACTATTCAATCGTTATCACGTCTATGACTTTTCTGTTTATCTCCCTTCCCACATTTCAGTGTCGTCGTCGTAAACTAATACTTCGCGAATGGGTTTCAGGAGCCACGCACTTGATCTCATTGTATAAGACAGTGATCTACTCTTGCAGTCAACGCATTTTGTTGCATACTCAACAGAAATCTTTCAGCAAAGCATTTTTGGCTTTTTATAAGACAGTGGGTCTTAGGTCATGAGGTGTATAACTTAGCACTCTCGAATGGTTTGGATCCACGACGATACCTTTGCGGTCATCTCTCGGCTTTTTCCCTGGGGACCGTTCCATGATTGGCATTACAAATTTAATCGAACTTCTGACTGAAGCTGGATTTGTCCTTTTTCCTATTTTCTTAATCACAGATACCTTCAACTGGCCAATCACTACAAAAGCCACTAGGGATACGTTATACGAAATAAGCACAATTACCTACTTTATGTGAAAGCGTCGTGCAGATTGAGCAGGCCACTCAGTTGGACTGTGCCTCGCATCGTCGAGGAATAAACCGTTTATTTATTTAGTTACTTCTGTTTACCAACCTGGCCTGAAAATTCCACCGGTAACTGCATGGGTATTTTGAGTTATACAGTGAAATTCCCTTCTCGTCTGAGATGGAACGAACTTAGCCAACAAGGACTTACCTGCGAAGCCTACCTAGTCCGTGGCCTATATACCTACACACTGGCATTCTTATGAAAGGCTCTATGAATCCAATGCAATGATCGGCTTAGTGGGCTTCGAAACATTCGCAAATATTTTATTTGTTTATCTAGACCAGAATGCAACTGCATACCTCGCCTCCATGACACTTGTCGTGGGTAAGCAGCCGGACATGAAGGCTTCACAACATAGACAAGTATATCCTAATAGCAAATGTCAAACCTCCAGCACATCGAAATTTTTTCTCGCCTGTCCAATGCTTCATCCTACTTCCATGACCTATAATCTTTGGACCGGCTTCAACGACTCATGGCGGACCATTGTTAAGCCATACGACCAGCCAACCACGAAACTTCGGTAGCAGTTGACGGCGAATGGCCGAGTGAACAATCGGTCTGTATAATGCTTTACCAGTTATACACGGCTGTTCAGTGGTATGGACGGCATTGTTCCAGGACGTGGTGGGCTTTTGTCTGGCCAACGTTTACCCAATAACTATACCATCAATTAGCGGTTAACATCCCTGCGACGTAAGGGTTGTGACTTGCCACACAGCTTCGCACTGACAAGTTGGGCCGATCAACATTGCACGATTTTTGTTAGGTACAGTACTATGATGCGACCCTATCAGCACATTCCATCACCAGTTTACCTATTACCCTCTTACTGTTGGTCTCTTAACTGTATCCACAATAACAAAAGCTAACGCCATATCAATATCGCTTAGTTCCTGACCAGTACTTTTCCAATTTTGCAACCATAACAGTGTCATTAGTCCAGTTCATACAATGTAAAGTGCCCGTTGCGAGACATAATAAATAAATAAATAATTAGTTTATTCTCAAATTTATAGAGACACGCCAACTCAGGCATGATCAAGGTTTACAGGCAGTTGAGTTTCACAACGATACTTAGGGTTCAACTGTGCGTAGTGCAAACGGTCAAGGCACTATAAATGCAGTGAAACGGCGCATGTAGACGGAGAGTATCATATTCTTGCACGTGTCGGAAAAAGTTGAAATACGACTCTACTCGACTTTTCAATACATAGTTGTGGGAAGTGACTTTATTCAGTGGTTATTCACATCCGCCACGTCGCAGTGTTGTTAAAAAGATATTTGTAGTGCTTTATAGGGAAAGCACTTGCCAGGCGAAAAGCCACCCCGTCCTGCCGTAAAGCCTTTTGAACCCTAAAGCACAACAGGCAAAGCCGCTTGACGTCTGGTTTCATATTCCGTTATTCGCAGTCAAACGGCCTCCAATTTCCTCTGTTGGCTGGACCGCTATGACTTGACAAGGGCCGCCATAATTGCTGAGGCCGGTTGACGATGGGAATATAACGAATAGTCGTCTTGTTGTGTGTCCAGGTGAGCAAAGTTTCAAACTTTCTGCTGTCTGGATGGGTCAGATGTATAATTTTCGGGAGTGTGAAGACGTGTCCAGCTCTCCATACTGGGCAGTTGTAATGGTTGTAATGGTGGTAAAGGTTGAGCGTGTCTGTCGTTGTGTATCGTAATGGATTTGAGGATAAGCTTTGTATTTATTTATTTCTTAACTGGTAGGTGTCAGACATAACGGTGATGACGAAGTAAAAGGACTTGTGAAGATCAGTTGTCCTAGTTGACTAAGGGAAGTGAGCTATAGAGGGTTAACAGGTGGAAGGTCTCTGGGGCAATTTAGTGCTCATTTGCGCTTAGGTTTCACAGTCACTGTAGCGACTCGG